AAGTAACAAAAAAAAAACTCAGATGTTTTTGTCATACAAGTAAATAACTAGTTCAAAAGAGACTGGTTTCAGAGTATGACTGGATCCAGACACATAAATGACCCTAGAAAGTGATTTTTCTCCACATCTAGATCCAGTTGTCTTTCGCAATGCCTTGTTCAGATTCTCATTGTGCAGCCAAAAAATGAAAAAGAAAAGCCACTAACAAGTCCAGGTTCCAGTCTCAGCCATTTAGTGGGAAAAGGAACCCTTCTCCAGAATTGCCAGCAAATATCATGAAATTGCCTCTAATTGCCCTTGTTCAGGTCCGAATCAGCCTAGACCCATCATTATTGCAGGGCAACAGAGTACTTTGATGGGCGGGTTCCAGTCTCACTCATCTCTGCCCAGGGTGAGAGTGAGGTAAGATTGTGGGTCCCTCAACAGGAGGGATGAGTCTTTTGCCAACAGGTAGAACCCTGGACAGTAGGAAGTGTCCATCCAAGCAGCTTTCTTACATCCTGGGGACTGAGCAGTACAGTGGGCAGGGTGCTTGCCTTGCAAGTTTTAGAGAAGTCAGAAGTTAGACATGAACTATGAACTATGCAGTTTGGTGTCCCTACTGCCCCCTCTTGGTAAAGGGCTAGCTGCATATATGAACTTCCATTTCTGTATTTTAAAACTGTTCTGACTCATACTAGAATTACATAGTAATGAACTGTAGCACTGTCCTCCCGTTGTTCATTGATTTGCTCGAGTGGGCCCAGTAATGTCTCCATCGTGAGACTTGTTGTTGCTGTGTTTGGCATATTGAATACACCACGGGTAGCTTGCGAGGCTTTGCCGTGTGGGCGAGATACTCTCGGTAGCTTGCCGGGCTCTCGAGAGGGGTGGAGGAATCGAACCTGGCTCGGCTGGGCCGACTGCGTGCCTCTTTTTTTGTTGAGGCATTTTTCTCACTTGCAAATTTATCATTTACTGTAGAGTGGCAAAAAGCTAAAAGTTAAATGTTTCTTTGTAGCCTAGAAATATTCAGCAATGTATATGTACAGTAAATGATGTTGGAAGTAAACATATATCGTCAAAGGTTTAAATGGGCTCAGGTGGTTTTTTGACGTACGACTTACCATCTTAGCAACATCATAAATAAAGCTAAGCAGAGATGTTAGGTAGACTTCTTCTGCCATGCAAAAAGTCAAGTAGAGATCACAGGAATACGGTATTTTTCAAATTGCATAAGTGCTGGTATTAGAGTTAGCTATTTCCTGGGATTACTAAAAGCCATTTTAATTAGAAACTATAAGTTTAGTTTATAGTTATATCAATATAAATATAAATATAAAATTATAGAAGCTGTAATTTTAAGTTACAACAATTAATGCTGGGGTAATTTTTATTTATTTATTTATTTGCTTTTTGGGTCACACCCGGTGATGCACAGGGGTTATTCCTGGCTCATGCACTCAGGAATTACTCCTGGGGGTGCCCAGGGGACCATATGGGATGCTAGGAGTCGAACCTGGTTGGCCGCATGCAAGGCAAATGCCCTACCCACTATGTTGTCACTCCAGTCCCAGGACGGGTAATTTTTTTTTTGAAAAGACACTCTGTGAAAATCCGCAGTAGAGATTCTAGGTCTTCCTCCTGACCACTGAGAAGCACGACTCTACCTTGATTGTGCCTTCCTCTGTGCTACAGTTATGCCTTCATTATTTCATGTAGAAGCTCTATGATGCGACCTCTAAAAGAAAGTACGATGCATCATTTATTCATTTTTTTACTATTAAAAAATGGTTAGATATACAGAGGTTAAATAACCTGTCCAGAGCGATGCTTAGTCAGTATTAATGCAATACAGCATTTTTGTATTAATGGAAATGTTCTATATCAGCACCATCCAGTTTGGCAGTCGCTAGCCCTGTGGGGCTGTTGAGCATTTGAAATATGACTATTCGAACCAAACCACTAAATTTTTAATTGCATTTAATTTTAATTAAATTAAAATAGCCCTATGGGATGAGTGGCTACTGTATTGCACAGCACCACTCTAGAATCTTCCCCAAATGCTCTTATTCGCACTACCCCACCCTGCCATGCAGCCCTCCAAAGCAATATCCAGGAAGCGGAAGATCTGTGTTCCGTGGAAACCTCTCAAACTCATGCTCTCTTGAGGTGAGGGTAACCAAACAGTAGGCTTTGGTCCAGGACCCTCCACCCAGCTGTCTTTTCTTTGTTGAATTACCCTCCTTCGTGAAGCGAGCATCATTGTCCCTTCATGCCTCAGTCCCTGAGCTGGATCTTCACTGCTGGTCCCCATGTTTTCAGATCCGTGCACTTTAAAAGATACAGTGGCATTTTCTCTTTTGACAAGGTTTTTAGGTCATTCGATGAAGACAGTTATTGTAAGATATAGTGAGGGTTGTTGATGCAACAAAGAATCACTCAGTCATATGCCTTTTAATAAGCAGGTAGTCCTTGTTCCTCTGAGGGATTTGCCTTCTCTGAGTGCTGCCTGCATTGGTCAGGGTTGATCGCGTTCACCTGGTAGGACCTCAGTCTCCCCATCTGGAAGGAAGCATGTTAAATTAATGACTGGGGGGCTGGAGAGATAGCACAGCTGGTAGGGCGTTTGCCTTGCATGCAGCCAGCCCGGGTTCAATTCCCAGCATCCCATATGGTCCCCTGAGCACCGCCAGGCGTAATTTCTGAGTGCAGAGCCAGGAGTAACCCCTGTGCATTGCCAGGTGTGACCCAAAAAATAAAAAAAAATTAATGACTGGGTGGGTGGCGTCTGTGTATAGGAAAACTATATTTTAATGATAATGAAAATTTTGATTTAGGGGGTAAATTATTAAATTGCGGAATGACACATGGAGTCTGGGAGTAGAAAAAGGCATGAGAGAGCCCTGTAGCTCCTGTGTCTTCTGAGCAGCTCTGTCCTTTTCTCTGTCATGCTCCGTTTGTCCCCTTGGCTCTTCCAGAGGACATGGGCCAGAATTGCTCTCTTCTATACTTCACTTGAAGCAGTAGTAATCGTTGCTGGAACCTCAGCATCTCAGTGAGTTCATTCTTAGGTTGAAAAAGTGTCTGTGCACTGGGACAGCAAAGTTGGAAGTGTTATTGTAGAAGCATAACATGTTTTGTGCATGTGTATGTGTATGGTTTTGGGTATTTCACATGTATGTTCACTACAAATGTTCCACTAGTTTCTGCTAGTTCATTTGCACCATTTTGTTCAGGTGCTGGGGCGATGGCTTCACATTCCTGCCATGCGGAGACCCACCAAGAACATCCTTCTAGAACCCCTGTTCGTAAAGCTTTTGAAATGCATTGGATATGGGAGGCTCTTGGCTAGAGGAATGTTCTAGTCAGGACACAGTTGCCATCCAGGACTGGACGCTTTGGTCCAGGGAGCGAGTTCTGAGTGTGGTGTTTCCCAGTGTGTCTCAGCCGTTCCCGACACCCCCTTCACTTTTGTTTCATTCCTATGCCACCCCACCCCCACCAGTCTACTACTGGTTGGTCCCCTCAACTTGTACCATGCCCCCCGCCATTTATGTGATTTTCACCCTTGGAATATTTGAGAAAACACTAGTCTGTGTTATTATTTTGTTTTGTTTCTTGGGCCCACCTCGGGGTTCTCAGGGGACTGAGTGTTTTACACGAGCTCCAGCACTTTGTGTTATATCCCCAACCCCACTGCTGTGGACTTGTCTGTCATGCATGGCTTCTACTTGCTCTTCCCCTCACCTAATTCCTGGTCCATTTGACTCATGGATAAAGAAATCCAAGGAAGGCAGGTCCAGTCCGTAATGGCCCTGCTTCTGGGTGAAAAAACTGTGACTCCTGGCAACACATTTCATCTCCAACTCTTCACTTCCCTGTATTATAAATGATGTATTTTCTTTTCTGATAACGTTTTTAGATACTTCTATTAAGACAGTTCTCTTAAGATATAGTGAGGGTTGATCGACAAAGAATCAATTTATCAGAGTCACAGTGTCCTTAAAAGTAGATCTGATGAGAAATGAATGAAGGCACATTTGGTTGTTTTGTAATTAATTATAATCAACAATTAATTGAGTATTTTGATTGGAGTGATTTTGTTAGAAACATCTTTTATTGCACAGTGATTGTTTTAGGACTATGGTCTAAAACTGTGGTGCTAATTTTTTCACTACTTCAGCATTTCCATCAGTAAATCCTGTAAAATCATAGAATTCATGTTCTTTAAATTATAATTTGAAATTTTTACATTGTTTTTGAATACCTGGATTAGACCATCAAATTCCTTTAATCTCTTATAGAAATTAGGTGTTACTTGTGATTTTGAATACTGACCAAATCACAGGGTTTTGTTTTTTGTTTTTTAATTTGGTTTTGGGGCCACACCCAGTGATGCTTAAGGGTGACTCCTGGCTCTGTACTCAGGAGTCACACCTGACTGGCGGTCCTTAGGAAACTATATGTGATGCTGGGGATCAAACTCAGGTCAGCTGTATGCAAGGAAAGTACCTACCTGCTGTACTATCTTTCCAGCCCACATTTTTCTTTTATGACTACATATTTTGTATTCTAAACAGTTACCCTATGAAAGAACTGTGAAACCAACTCATTTTTTGGAGTCAATTTATAGCTCCTTAATAGTGTATTGGCCTTCATGCCTTCAAGAAAAATCTCTTATGGCCTTAAATATAATATTAGGAGATATGGCTATCAGTGTGAACATAGCTTGACTCTTTTCCAACAGAGATTCTGTGTTCTCCAGAGAAAGGATCTTAAAAGACCTGCTCCTGCAAAGAGTATGTGCAGCTACTAACAGACACCACATTCACTTCCAGTGTTCGAATGAGTTGAGCCACTGTTGATTTCAAAAGCTGACTCCATAATGCTTATACATTCACAGTGACTGTGAGCATTGACCATTTCTGCTGTATTTGAATGTTTAGAAGGACTTGACTGGAAATATCTGTTTACTGGGACAGTGGTCATTTCAAAGCATGTATTTTCTTCCTTTTCAGGACTTCCAACAGTAATCAGACCATATCATCCTGCCATACTATGGAGCCATGCTCATCAGATGAATTTTTCCAGGCCCTTAATCATGCTGAGCAGACATTTAAAAAGATGGAAAACTATTTGAGACACAAACAATTATGTGATGTGATTCTGGTTGCTGGGGATCGCAGGATTCCAGCTCACAGGTGATTGTTCTCCAAATTTTCTTTTGTGTGAAATATTTCCTTGATGACGGTTTTGTTAGATATGTTGAGGTAATGCACCCAGTTGGCTGCTAAGAAGGAATGCTTGGGGAAGGAGACTTTTATGGAAATTCCAGAAAGGAAATTACATGTGAAATTACTACACATAAAATGACTCTCCACCCCATGAGCCAAAACAACAGTGCTGCGGCTAAGGCATTCGCCTTGGATGGAGTCAACTGGGTGTGATCCCCAGCACCACATGTGGTCCCCTGAGCCCTGCCAGCCAGGACTAAGCTCTGAGTACCATCAGGTGTAGAAAAAACAAGTAATGACCCCCAAAGGCCCAAAGGGTAACTTTCCCTCTGTAGAACCACAAAGCCAGAATACACAAGATTTGTCAGTGATATTTGATAAAGATTTCCACTACAGTAAAGAGTTATCTCATTCCTACTTTGGACAGACTTGCAGGCTATCGAATGTAGCCTGCCCACAGGGCAGAGTCTGGCAAGCTCCCCGTGGCGTACCAAATATGCCAAATACCAGTAACATTGATGGGTCTCATTCTCCTAAAGAGCCGTGAATATAATCTCAGGGCTAGGATGAAAGAGACGTTACTGGGGCCTGCTCGAGGCAATCGACGATAAACAGGATGATGAAATGAAATGAAATGAAAGAGTTTTTACCCCATCTGTGTTTACCTTTTAAATAAAATTCAATGGCAGAGCCTGAGAGGTAGCTTGTTGAACTTTCCACTTAAAATATCTAAATGGGAACCCTGTATGATCCAGTAGTACTTCTCCTAAATATCTATTCAAAACAATACGGAAGCACTCCTTTGAAAGGATATTCGCAACGTTCTAACATTAGTACAATAGTTAAAATACTGAATCTTAATGCCCTTGCTTTGTTTGAAGGAGACCCAAATCCCACCCTGAGCATTGCATGGGCCCCTAAGCACTTAGCCAGGAGTAGAGCCTGTGCACCGTCGGGTATGGCCCAACAACCGGAAATACACAATTGAATAAATAAATTCTGGGAATTACCACTGTGAGTCTTTAGAAGCATGAAAGAAGGTGGAAGGAAGTGGCAAGCTTCTTGTTTTTGCTCACCTCCAACGAGCAGGAGAAGCAGCAGCTCGGGGGAGCCAAAGCTTCGGCAGGGATGAAGCACCGCCTGCAGTTCAGGAAGGAAGCAGAGCAGCTGCACAAGGAGCGACTTACCCCTTTCCTTCTGGTGCTTCCCTTTTCAGTTGTTCACTGTCAGTCACCATTTTGTTCCCATAGAGGTTTTGGTTTTTTGTTTTGTTTTGTTTTAACAAGTTATTATTCCAACTTGAAGGCTTGTTTGACCAACCATGGTGGAAGTAAAATCATGAGGAAGACCATTTATTGGCTTGGCCTTAGAATTTTTTTTTTCTTTTTTGGGTCACACCTGTGGATGCACAGGGCTTACTCCTGGCTCCACACTCAGGAATTACTCCTGGCAGTGCTGGGAGGACCATATGGAATGCTGGGAATCGAACCCTGGTCGGTCACATGAAAGGCAAACATCCAACCCGCTATGTTGTCACTCCAACCCCTAGAATTTTCAGTGACCATCAGTGGACATTGAGATGCCACTGTATGGAGTGACAGAAATCCATGCTCAAAGCATGCATTGGTTAGAATAGACATTTCGCCCCGAATCTTTGGGCAGCATCGCATTTCTGTTTGTTGGGGACAGTTCACTCCCTGTCACACTGCAAAATCACTTCATCCCCCAGACAAGAGCTTCCTGGCTCCCCTCCCTGTTATTTCCCAGTTACCTTTGGTTTTTTCAAAATATCACTCAAGTAATCCTTTGAAGTTTGGTTCAGGGGGCCGGAGGGATAGTGCAGTGAGGTAGGGCTCTTGCCTTGCTTGGACCAGCCCGGAATCGATCCCCAGCACTTTCTACGTTCATCCGAACCCTCCAGAAGTGATTCATAATCACAGAGCTGGGAGTGAGCTCTGAACAAAGCTGGGAGCGGCCCCCAAACACAATAAAGTCCAGCTCAGATCCAGCGTTCAAGTTCACAGGGATCAAAGTTCCCAGTGGCCTGTCATGTAACCAAGTATGAAGACCTGTCCCCTCGCTGTGACCCCACACACTGTCCACTGTCCCCGTCACATATACTCCTGTCCATCTTTGTTTGGGCTTTCTCTGGAGTCCTGTCCCTGAGTCCCGGCATGCAAGCTCCTCCTAGCCCCTCCTTCAAGCCCTGGCCCTCACACCACCTTCCAGTGGTACTTTCTGCATTTTTTCTTTCACTTGAATTGAGTTAAAATTGGTGTGCGCCGTTGTGTATTTCAGGAGTATTTTCTCACACCTCTTCGGAAGTAGATTGTCACCCCACACCTTGCTACTAGTTTAACCCCATACTCCCATTTGTCCTTCCCTTGTTTTTCCCCCCGCTGTAGCTGTAATGCTTAATGGCTTTATTAATAGAATGCAGTCAGGTTCACTCTATCTGTGTGATTCGTCTCGCCCCTGGATATTAATGTTCCGTCAGACACAGGATCGTCCGTCTGCTTTGTACACCAGTGTGCTCTGGGTTTCTAGAGGAGACCTGTTGATTTGTCTTCATAGGGAGTAGGTTCCTACTCATGTGCTGGGACCCGAGCACCCCCGGGGCCCCTCACACAGTGAGGGAAAGCTGTCTGAGTTGGCACAACATTCTGGGGAGTTGCTTGGCAGATCAGAAGGCTCCTAAGGGAGACAAGAGAATGGAATTAGAGGCGAGCACAGAGCCCCTCACGGATCATCTGTATCATCATTTCTATTTCCTTAACAAAATGGATAACGTGCTGATGTGGGAATACTTCAAAACATTATCAAATGATGAAAATGCATGTTTTGAGATGTAAGCTTATAATCCATGTTTTTATATGTGACTCAGAAGTCTGCATAGAATTAGCATTAAAAATATGTATGGGGGAGTGGGGGCTGGAGTGATTGTACAGCAGGTAAGGCACTTGCTTTGCATGTGGCCAAACTGGGTTCAATCCCCAGCACTCTATATGGTCCCCAAAGCCGCTCCAGGAGTGATCCCTGAGTACAGAGCCAGGAGTAAGCCCTGAGCATCACTGGATGCGACTCCAAAACTTTTAAAAAACCGAAAAAAAAAAAAGCATTTTGTATAATACTAATGTATATACAAAATACAATCTTATGTGTGATAACACAGTATAATTTCATAACAAAATATAAACATTGTAATACACTTTAATAAATATGTCTAAAAGTTTAAAATAACTTCCTGAAGATTCTAAAATGCCTTTGCTTAAAATAATATGAGGTTTTTTAAAATTTATTTTTAATTGAAGTATAATTTAGCAGGTTATTTTCAAAAGTGAGAAAATAGGCTTCACTTTCACCCCCTCCCCTTTTAAAATACATCACTTATTTAATAGTGTGGGCTTGTAGCTTTTTTCTTTCTGTGTTGTAAAGCTCTCTTTCAGTGGTGGATGAAAGTTTTTGGTAAAGGTAATTTATTATTCAAAAGAAGGAAGTAGAGCATAAAGCAATTAGTCAGACTTAAAATGCATTTCCCAGTACCACGCATTTTCTGTGGTGAAAAAAAAATTTTTTTTCCGAAGAAGAGGAAGGGAGGCATTTATTAACATCAGCTTTAATGTGGTCGTTGATTTCTTTTCTTGTAATATGTTCTCAGGCTGGTGCTATCCTCGGTCTCAGATTATTTTGCTGCAATGTTTACTAATGATGTCAGGGAAGCAAGACAAGAAGAAATTAAAATGGAAGGTGTAGAACCAAACTCCCTGTGGTCCTTGATTCAGTATGCGTATACAGGTAATAAATCTAAAAATGCAAATTGTAAGTCCCTTAGATTGATGTTATTTACATATTACTAGATTTCAGATTTCTGCTTGCAGTAAAGCCTCCCGCCACTGACGTCCATTAATTCTGCCAGGGGGACCCCGCCAGCCATGGCACCCGCAGCCGGGGTTTGCACCTCTGCAGTGATTCCTTAGGATGCTTTGAATGGTTTCTCACAACATAATGCCAATAGCAGTCGAGATACACGATCTGAAATTTTATTGTCACTTTTCATCTTCTTGCTCTTTCCCCAGGCAGGGGGGGCTGTCAGGATTTCCTCAGTGCACCTGGGTGCTCCAAGTTTAAGCTCGCGGTGCCCTGGGTGCTTTTTAAATTACCAGGCTGTCTTCTTAGCCGTCTCGTGCAGTAGGCTCCAAACAGCAGAACTTTGGGGCTCTTTGAATGTACTGGGGTGGCTCATGGTCTCTCACTTGCCAGGCCAACACTATGTTTTGTTTGGAGACGTCACACCTGGCAGTGCTCCCAATCTGCTCTTTAGCACGAGCCTTCTGCATTTCATGGACCAATCTCCGGCCCCATGCAAGTGCTTTGAGCCACTGAGCTCTTTCCTGCAGGCCCCAGTAATTCTCCTCACTTTTTCTTTTTTTTTTTCCCTTTTTAGGGTCATACACAGCGATACTCAGGGTGACTCCTGGCTCTGCACTCAGGAATTACTCCTGGCGGTGCTCAGGGAACCTTACGGGATATTGGGGATCGAATCCATATCAACCTCATGCAAGGCGAACACCCTCCCTGCTGCCCTATCATTCTGGCCCCTTATTTTCTTTTTTTTTTGGGGGGGGTCATACCCGGCGATGCACAGGGGTTACTCCTTGCTCTGCGCTCAGGAATTACCCTGGCGGTACTCGGGACCAGATGGGATGCTGGGAATTGAACCCGGGTCGGCTGCGTGCAAGGCAAACGCCCTACCCGCTGTGCTATTGCTCCAGCCCCTAATTTTCTTTTTTAAAAATTCTTGTGTTTTAAGTTAAATATTGAGGGGCTGGGAGATGGTGCAGGGGTCAGGATTATGCCCAACCTGGGTTTGATCGGTGGCTCTATATAGCCTTCCCAGCTTCCCCAGGTGTGGCTGGCCCTGGGCACCCCTGAGCACCCCCAGGTGTTCCCTCTGCCCCCTTACAGCAGGCAGCACTGTGTTCTTGGGCTCCAGCATTTAAACATCATCAGCCCAGTTAGCCGATACCAATATCTGGTTTATATTGCTGGATAGGCCCCTGAGTAGTGCTTGGGAGGCTCCCAGATATATCAATGAATAGAAATTAGAATGTGAACTGCATATAATACGTATATTACTCATTAAAGCATCACTTATTTCTGAAAATAAGTCATTAGTTTGGGGTCGGGGGAGTTTCAGCAGATGTCACAGAGAGCTAATACATTTTAATACAATTTTAATCTCATTAAAAATGTATTAGCTCTTTTTTGGAATGCCTTAAATATTGCGTATTCCATATTTCATGGAATACACCCCTCAATTAGAAATAATACTTTTAACATCATTTATTTCTTTAATAAACAAAGTGAATATAGTTCCATGGTTAATGGAATGTTTTTTTCCTCCTAAGGCCGCCTTGAGTTAAAAGAAGATAACATTGAGTGCCTGTTGTCGACGGCTTGCCTTCTGCAGCTCTCACAGGTGGTGGAAGCATGCTGTAAGTTTTTAATGAAACAGCTTCACCCATCCAACTGTCTTGGAATCCGTTCGTTTGCTGATGCCCAAGGTTGTACAGATTTGCATAAAGTGGCTCACAATTACACGATGGTATGTATTTTTTTGAGAAACAGGAAGGTATATGTGCTCTTTGCCTTACTCCTTTTTGATGCAGTATTTTTTTTAAATCTATGAGTTGTTTTTCCATGACTCTGCCACATTTCCTGAAGTTCAAGTTTACTGTCTAACATGTGACAATTTCATTATTAAGAGGGAAAGCCACCATGCCTTTCTCCTGGACATGGAGGAGTAAAGCCTTAAGTTATTAAAGTAACTGGGAAGCAGAGGGTCAGAGGATAAGGTGCTTTCCCTTGTATGCAGCCAACCCAGTTCAGTTCCCGGCCCCTTATATGGTCCCTGGATCACCACCAGGTGAGGTTCCAACACCACCACCCACCTTTACCCAGCCAAAAAATAAGAGTTAGGATGTTTCCATTAAAAATGTGCAGATGTGGGAGCTGGAGGGGTAGTGCGGAGGAGGGTAAGGCCTTTCGATCTCTAGGTTCAATCCCCACATCTTCCCCTGAGCCAGTCAGGAATCATTCCAGAGTGCAGAGCCAGGAGTAAGCCCTGAACATTGCCTGGTGTGGCCCCAGAACCAAAAACAAACAAGACCTGCAGCCGTACTTTCTAAAGTGAAATTCGTGCCCCCTCTCCCCCCCAAAAAAAATCCCCACCACCTGACATTGTAGCCTGTGGATAGAGTTCAGATCTCCAGATGGAAACTAATGATTGTGATGTGTTATTGATGCATACTACTTTAGAAGCCAGGGAGAGCAAAAGGTTCTTTTAAGGATAAATGCGAGGGACTGGAAAGATGGTACAACGAATAAGGTGCTTGCCTCACCTGCAACTGACCGGGGCTCTATACCCAGTACCCCTATAATCTTCCAAGCATTGCCAGGAGTGATCCCTCAACAGTTAGCACAGAGCCAGGAATAAGCCATAAGCATCACTGCAGGTGGCCCAAAAACCAAAACTTAAAAAAATAAAACAAAATAAAATGTGAGTATGTAGCACTGTAGCACTGTCCTCCCGTTGTTCATTGATTTGCTCGAGCAGGCACCAGTAATGTCTCACAACAAATTGTGAGACTTGTTGTTACTGTGTTTGGCATATTGAATACGTCACGGGTAGCTTGCCAGGCTTTGCCATGCAGGCGAGATACTCTTGGTAACTTGTCGGCTCTCCAAGAGGGGTGGAGGAATTGAACCTGGGTCAGCGGCATGCAAGGCAAATGCCCTACCCACTGTGCTTTCACTCCAGCCCCAAAATGTGAGTAGATTGAGTATATATTTCCAGCTCCACAGAGCAAGCTGATATGCAGCAGATCATGTGATCCAAATAGCAGGAGGGGAGGTTTCTGATTCAGGGTTGCAGCTTGTAGTTGGATGGCATCGGAATGAAGCCTGTGGGCTGTGCATTGTTGGGACCAGCCACTAGCAGTGTTGACAGTTCAGGGAAGGGAGGGCCGTGGGGTTTTAAAGGAGGACTGTCTTGCCACACTCAGGGGCATCACGCCTGGGCATGAAGAAATGGATGTTTGGATTACTTGCATGACAGTACTGCTTATAGGCAAAGGTTTGACCGTGCAGGCGAACATACAGTCATCCATATCACTCCTTTTCTCCACTCTTAAGAGGTAACATTTTTGAAGGGGTCTCGGACTACTCAGTCACGCTTGGCCCAGCTGTGTGGGACAGATGACTCCGTGCTTTGCCTGACAGGTGCTGAAGCCCTCCACACCACCAGGACCAAACCTGTGATGCTTGGCTCTGACCTCCGGGTCCTGTGAATGTCAGGATCTACTCAGCCCCTAACTTCTGTTGACTCTCTTTCCTTCATCCCTTAGGTTGATTTGTCTAGGAGGGGATTGACGAGTAATTTAGGAGTGTTTCATGAGAGATAGAAGCATTGGGGAAAACGCTAAGAATAGGTATTTGCAACTCTTGGGAAGATTCATTTTTTTCTACTTCTTAAGATTTATGTGACAAAACAATCAGTTCACAGAAGTTTAGCACCTAGGGGCCAGAGAGATCGCACAGCAGGTGAGGCTCTTGCCTTGCATGTGGCCAACCCAGGTTCAATCCCCAGTATCCCATATGGTCCCCGGGCACTACTAGGAGAGATTCCTGAGCACAGAGCTAAGAGTAACCCTTAGCATCACCAGGTATGGCCTGCCCCTGAAAAAGATAAAAACAAAACACTGATTGGCAGATAAACAAAACAGTGATGAGTCAGCAAACAGCACCATCATCGGAGTTACCTTCATGTATGGTTTTACTGTGCTCAACATGGTAGAGATTTATTTGAGTGAACAGAGGCATTCAGACAAAAGCAGACTTTTATGATTCTTTATTTCTCCTTATGGTGTAATAACTTCTTAGAAACATTTCTTGTGCATGATGGACAGCTGCCTCAGAGATAGAGCATAACACAAGACAGTACTGTGCAGACCCAGTACATGGGAATTGGTTTTGGGATAATATTTATTTATTTATTTACTTATTTATTTATTTTTGAGGCAGTAGAAGGTGGTGGCCACGCCTGACCATGCTCAGGGCTTGTGTTCTATGTTCAGGGCTCTCCTGGCTGTTCTCAGGGCTGGCTCTATGCAAGGCAAGTGTTTTAACCATTGTACTATCTCTCTGGCCCCAGATTATACATTCTAAAGAAAGTTCTTTGAAAGATTTCTCCCTTCGGTCTTGAACATTTAAAAAAAATTCCCTTATATCCTGCATTCAGATTTTTTGAAGATGAAGGTAATTAGGATTTTACCCCTTATAATCATTACATGAGAGTGAGGGTATAGTTGGACTGGAGTGATAGAGCACAGCGGGTAGAGCATTTGCCTTGCAAGCAGCCGACCCGGGTTGATTCCCAGCATCCCATATGGTCCTCTGAGCACCGCCAGGAGTAATTCCTGAGTGCAGAGCCAGTACTAACCCCTGGGCATCACTAGTGTGACCCAAAAAGGAAAAAAAAGTCATGGTAGCTTAGCAGTACCAGTGCTTGCCTTGCATGTGTGACACCCTGGGTTTGATGCCCCCTACAGGGGGAAAAAAGAGGGACTGAGATTTCATAGCTTGAGTAATATCCTCTCTCTTAAGGAGTTTTGTTCACATGGAAAAAGTTGAATGCTTTTACATCTCATCTGTTGTCAGTGTAGAGGCACAATTGCTACTTTAACACTTGGAACATAAGGGGCCAGAGAGATACTACAGTCCTACAGTGGGTGGGGCATTTGCCTCGCATTCATCTCATCCAGGTTCTAACCCAGCACCACATATGGTCTCGTGAGCCTGTCGGGAGTGTTCCATGAGCAAAGGGATTCACATATTTAAAGAAAAAAAAAAGAATAATCTCTGAGCATCACCGGGTATGGCCCCAAAACAAAAAAAAGAAGAAAAAGACAGCGATGATGACTTGGAATAAATTAGCTTGCTTTTGTTTATTTTTGGGTTTGCTGGCCACATCTGGCAGTGCTGGGGACTAATCCTGCCTCTGTGCTCAGGATTGACCCTAGCAGTCCTTGGGGGACCGTATCCAGTGCTGGGGATTAGACCTGTGCCAGCTGAGTGCAAGGCACATTTCTTAACTTCCAGCACTATTTCTCTGGCCCCAGGGTTGAAATTTTTTAAAGCTGTTTCCTTTCCTTTTGATCATGTTTACTGCACTCTCCATTGTAGGAGGACAGGTTCACACCTGCTCAAATATGGGTCGCCCCATAACCCACCACCAGGGTACCCCCAGTCTTCCTTTGCTGGACCCTCTATCCCTCTTCCCCGTTTTCTCCCTCAGTTCTTCAGTTAGAATCCAAGGATTGGGTTCTGTTTTAAGACTTGTTTTTATAGCCAATTAGTGGTAGTACTTCTGTGTGACTCCAGGCCGTTATTTGACATTATTTAGTTACAGCAGAGACATGGAATTGAATTCTTATAACAGTAACTAATTTCAAGGGAGGTTGTCTGATTTGAATAGTTACTATGGGAACTGAATAAAATGTATAGCAAATTTCAGTCTTCTGTTTAAACAAGTCCCTCCGTAATTTCATTTGCTTACCAACTATCCCAGAGGAGAAGGGGCTCAGGAATGTGCCTGGGAATGTGCCCATTGCTTGAACCATGAACAGGCTGAGACTGTCTGGCAGGTGTGGTCCAGCTGCTTCCGTGAGCTGTGTGACCTTGGACTGTCCCCTGAGGGGAAACTTGGATGGAGCACCCTCATTCTGTTTGCCACTGAATGAGTGGGACCCGCAGCACTCAGCACCACAGAAATGTCTAGAAAACTTTGCAGTCATATAATTAATAAAATTTATGAAGGACAGACCTTCAGGCATTTAACTTCATGTTTAATCAAGTTGCATTGATTTCCCATAGGCTTAAACTATTTGGAGGGGGGCTGGAGCAATAGTACAGCGGTAGGGTGTTTGCCTTGCACCACGTGGCCAGCCCAGGTTTGATCCTCGGCATCTCATACAGCCCTCATAGCAACACCAGGAGTCATCCCGGGCCAGAAGTAATCCCCCAAAGCATCACCAGGTATGGCCCAAACAAACAAACAAAAAACCGTTGCGAGAGTAGAACTTTGCATCTCTTTGTAAGAAATAACCACCCAGGCTAGAGGAGGTAGTAAGTAGGTAGGGTGCTTGCCTTGCATGTCCTCGACCAGAGTTTGATATCCCTGGCACCCCATATGGTCCCCCAAGCACCGCCAGGAGCAATATGGAATGCAGAACACCTGAGCATTGTTGGGTTTCTCCCCTCCTCCCAAAAAAGAACTCACCACCAGCATTTCAAAGCCATCACACTGTCTAAAAGACCCTCTACCCATTTCCCTCCTCTCTCCCTCTGGTTGCCACTCTACAGTTCGGTCTTTTAAGATTGTTTCTCTCTTGCTAGTATATCTGCTTTGGTTGTTTATATGTGAGTGAAACCATCTGGTAACTGTCTTTTCCCATGCCTGATTTAGCTTCTGTTCACCCCGAGTTTCATCCACTCTTACTGTGTTGAGCGTGGCTGTGTTGTGTTGTTGGTTGGTTTGGTTTCTGGGCCACACCCAGCAGTGCTCAGGGATCACTCAGGCAATGCTCTGGGGACCATACTTGGTGCCAGATATGGAACCTGGGTTGGCCACGTGCAAAGCAAGCACCCTGCCTGTCGCACTGTTTCTTCAGCCCCTTGCATCCGTAAGAGCCAAGTAGTTGAGTATGTGCATGGACGCTCCTTCACCTGGGCAGCCATTGATGGGCATTTACGTGGATCCCGTGTTTTGACTACTGTGAATGTGAAGATTTAATTTGAAAGTTTAAATTTTGTTTTTTGATCTAGAAAACCTAGGAAAATAATTAAGATTTTTTTGTTGAAATTGTTTATGATGATTTATTATGTTCAACATTCCAACACCAATCCCACCACCATTACACCTTCCAAACTCAGAAAATAATAGAAATGTTTTGAAATACCAATTTCAGAATAAAGCAGTACATTTTTTTCCCCGTTCTTACATTCTTTTTTTTTTTATTATTAGTGAAACACCATGAGGTACAGTTGTAGATTTACAATTTTTTGTGCTTGGGTTTCGATCATACAATGATCAGATACCCATCCCTCCACCAGTGCCCATTTTCCACCACCATGGATAATATCCCCCCCATCCCCCCCTCCCACCCTGCCTCTGTGGCAGGGCATTCCCTTTTGTTCTCTCTCTCCTTTTGGGTGTTGTGGTCTGCAAAAGAGGCATTGAGTGGCAAACATGTTCAGTCCATAGTCTACTTTCGACATGCATCTCCCCTCCTGGGAGGATCCTCCAAACACCCTTTATTTGGTGCTCCCTTCTCTATCTGAGCTGCCCTTTCCCCTAGAATGCCGGGCTGGCCTCTAAGCTATGGAGTAATCCTCCTGGTGCTGATCTCAGCTATTCTTGGGTATTAATCTCATATTTTGTTACTTTATATCCCCCAGATGAATGCAATCTTTCTATATCTATCCCTCTCTTTCTGACTCATTTCGCTTAGCATGATACTTTCCATGTTGTACCACTTGTATGTAAATTTCATGACTTCATCTTTTCTAACAGCTACATAGTACTTCATTGTGTAGATGTACCAAAGTTTCTTTAACCAGTCATCTGTTCTTGGGCACTCAGGTTTCTTCCAGTTTCTGGCTATTATAAAGAGTGTAAAGCAGTACATTTTTGTAAAGCAGTTTACTTAAATTTTTCTCACTATGAATTATACTAGAAGGCATTGTTCTGAAATAGGTTAGCAGATAAGTAGTCAAAAGAAGGTATAACAGGGCAGAGGGTAGGAGAGATAGTACAGTGGTTTGAGTGTTTGCCTTGCATATAGCCAACCAGATTTGATCCCCAGCATCCCATATAGTTTCCTGAGCCCCACTAGAAGTAAACCCTGAGCACAGCTGAATGTGACCCCTACACACCAAAAAAATAGAATATATATATGTATATATATATATCTTTTCTTGTTGATGAAATGCAATTAAGACAGATTGTAAATATGATAGTACCTAATGTTAGTATTGTACTTTTGGACAATTAGAGATGTTGATTTTTTACTCTTTCTGCATCTCACCTAACATATAAGTATCTTCCCATATGTCTCTGTAATCTTTTTCTTCGAAATGCTTAATATTTCTTGAAGTTATGACCCCCTTGCAGACATTTGGACTAATTTACATTTTTTAACCACTATAAATAATAAGGAAAGGAACCTGCCCTTTTTTCCTCATAAATTATTATGGATTAAGCAAGTAGTAGGGTTAGCGCATCACTTTCATAGCTCTTGCTATGTGTTGCCGGGTGATTTGGGTGGGGGGGGAGAGGTTTGGGGGCTGGCCCTGGGCCCATGCTCAAGGGTCATTCTTAGTCACGCTCAAGGGGACCAGGGGATGCTAAGGATTGAAGTGAGGCCAGCTATGTGCAAGGCAGGTGACTCCATGCGCTGCCTTTCTGGCCTCCCAGTCATTTCATAATGTCAGTACACAGTTAAGTAGAACAGTTGCTCAGAGTCATTCTGGTACTGAGGTTTTCTTAAAATATGCTTCTGGAAATGATAATTAGTCATTTAAAACAGATTTATGTGGGCATCTTTAACAAATCACGATAAATTGAAGCAATTGAATTTAGTTAATTATTTACATGTGACTTTCCTTTTAGGAATTTCTGCTGAAAGGAATGTCAACCCAAGATATATTTTAGATCCACACCTAAGCTGAGTTACTACAGGCTCTGTGGGAAATAATAATTCTTATTTTAATATCAAAGAGTTATTGATGGTTCTCACCTCTGATTCTAATTGTAACAACCTTAACTCTTTTATTAGAATTCTGTGTGCTGAGACAGCATAGCACATTAGGAAATACGAGAAAAGCATTAAGAGAATGGATGTTAGTCTTTGCATTTCTGTTATAACTATGTAAACAATCCACATATTAAGACTTGTAACCTTGCATCCTAGAGAGTGAGATTGTTGAGTGGAATGGCCTAACAAAGGTCATTGCCTTGTATGTAAGATTAGTCTTATCTCCCTTTGCAGATTCTCAGAGGCTTGATCCTAGTATTTGGCCAGAACCAAGTCATCTGCAGTGAGCTCTGATGCACAGAAGGAATGTTACTTGTATTGTTTCTTACAGGAGCATTTCATGGAAGTCATTCGAAACCAGGAATTCGTGTTACTCCCAGCCAGTGAAATTGCCAAGCTCTTGGCCAGCGATGACATGAATATCCCTAATGAAGAGACGATATTGAATGCCCTTCTGACTTGGGTTCGTCATGACTTGGAACAGAGGCGGAAAGATCTCAGTAAACTTTTGGCTTACATTAGGCTACCTCTTCTTGCGCCACAGGTAAACCCTTTTTGATGATACAAAGTCAGTGTCCTCTTGCAGTGGCAAACAGGTGTTTCATACTAACACTGTTGCCTAAATATGGTCTCTCTTATTTGACCAATAAGGTGATTTCACACTGATTTTCTGTGTGTGGGGGAAAGCAAGTGAGCTGAGGAATTCCCTGAACACTGGGTTTGCAGCACACTAGGTCTGGTTCCCTGAACTGCATCAATTAAATTTTGCAGCACACTAGGTCTGGTTCCCTGAACTGCATCAATTAAATAAAATTACTGGTTTGGGTTAGTACTTTGATTTGACTCAACTATTAACTTACCCTGTGATTCAAAGAGAATTGGCAGACTACTACTAATAAAGGGAGAACTAGAATTGGGAACTAGAAAATTTAGATGAATTCATTAGCCATGTTTTTATGAAATACTTGCTCATGCAGGATTCTGGAGATTTGTCAGTGTAAAATACAGAATTATAGTTTGCACTGTGATATTTTAGAGCTCTGTCCGTTGGCGTGTTTGCATTCCTTAGTTTCTGCATTTTTCCTGTAGCAATAACTTCCTCTTTGGCTATTTCAAGATGATTGTGATGATCAGGAACATTCTCGATGAGGTGCTAGAATGATAGTATAGGGATTAAGGCACTTGCTTTGCACGAGGCTGACGCCAATCGATCCCTGGCACCCCAGCACTGCCAGGAGTGATGCCTAAGCACAGAACCAGGAGCTCCTCCCCTCCACCCAAAAGAAAAGTGCTCTCTGAAACAATATTTGCTCTAAATAATAATAATATTTATTATAATTCTATTTTTACAGCGTGAATGGTGATAATTTGGGGAGAACCAAATTTTGTGGTGCTTGGGGGCTACTCCTGTCTCGGTGCTTGGGGATTGCTCCCAGTGATACTCAAGACCTCATGGTACTGGGGATTGAATCCAGGCTTTCTTGTATACCGAGCAGGTGTCCAGCCTCAAGCCTTGGTCATATGTTAATCTGTTAGAGTATTACCACATTGTTTATAGAATAGTTTTTAAGGAAAGTATGGAAGTCTGGGGAGCTGACTCAAAGGAGTGAAGTTGATGCTTTGCAGGTAGGAGACCTAGATTGGACCCCCAGCACCTCCAGTTGCCCTGGGTGCAGCACCCAGAGCAACTCTCCCCCACCCAAGTACTGCAGCAGGAGTAGCTTTTTAGCATGCTGAGAGCCGTTAGCCAGAAAGAGAGGGACAGAGAGAAAACGTCGCTCACATGTGGAATATAAAGAAATGCAGTTTGGGAATAACAAATGGCCAGAGACAACAAAACCTGAGAATTGTGCCACAAAACTGAGCTAACCAAGGGCAGTTGGGAAGGGATCCCGAGGAAAGTGGCAGAGGGGGTGGAGTTGGAACACGGGGTGCACGAAACCCTGTCGTTGCTCACTGACAGTATCGTAAGGCTCGGTGCCTCACCACACACAGCAGCAGTCCCTGAGCACTGCTCATGATTAAAAAGAGTACAAAGCAGTTTTATTGCCCCTTGCAATGCCGTGTCTCGGCTGGTGGAGTGGGCACATACACCCCAGCCGTCCCAGCTCTGGTTGTGACACCAGATCCCACCTATTGAGCACGAGGTACTGGATCTAATACTTGGACTCGATTTAAGTTTGCATCGCCAAGATCTTGCCCCACTTTGGGGCATGTCCCACATCACCCACGGGAGTGGTAAGTGCTGCTCTGGAATCCCTCTGTTGCTTCAAGGATCAGACTGCTCAGCTGAGCCAGGGCCTCTATCAAGGAAACACCAATATTTGCGGCAGTCTCCCCAGAGCTGCCTGAGTAACTGGAGAGCTTTGCCAGAGGGGCCCAGGGGGATGGAGAGGGTACAGTGGGTAAGGCACTTGTCTTCACACAGCCCATCCAGGTTTGATTCCCAGCACCCCGCATGGTACCCAGAGCCCCGCCAGGAGTGATCCCTGTGCGCAGAGCCAGGAATAAACCCTGAGCACTGCTGGGTGTGGACCCAAAACAAAATAACCACAAAAAATAAAAAATTAAGCATGGAATTTTTTATTTTTTTTTAAATAATTAAAAAAAGATACAAGGACTGGTGTGTGTGTGTGAGAGAGAGAGAGAGAGAGAGAGAGAGAGAGAGAGAGAAGAGAACACCCAGAGATTCTGGTTCTATTCCCAGAATTATGCTTATAGCCCCCAAGCCCTGCAAGGAATGACCTCTGAGCACTGCTAGGTGTGGCCCAAAGCCCCAACCCTGTCCCAGGAAAAAAAAATTCCAGGATCAAGAAGGAAATAGCACAGTGGGTAGGGCGTTTGCCTTGGTAGGGCATTTGCCTTGCATGTGGCCGACCCAGCTTCGATTCCTCCACCCCCTCGGAGAGCCCGGCAAGCTACCGAGAGTATCCCACCTGGCAAGCTCCCCACGTATTCAATATGCCAAAAACACTAACAACAAATCTCACAATTTGTTGTGAGACGTTACTGGTGCCCACTGGAGCAAATGGATGAACAAAGGGAGCATAGTGATACAGTGTTACTAAAACCTGTAAGATCAACCAAAGCCCGCCAAATTAGGTCAGTGGTTTGCAGAGTAGAAGTGCAGGAGGGGTCTGGGGGTGGGGGGTAGTGGTGGCCTAGAAAATGGTGTTTCTCAAAGCCCTCAGGTGAATGGGGGGGGGGCGGCAGGGGGGGAATGCTGGGGCTCAAGGAGTGGGAGTGAAGCCGGGTTGCCTCAGAGTGTTTACACAGCTCCTCCACTCCTCTGAGCAGTAGTTTGCTTTTCTATGAAAAAGACGTCATCAGAATATTGTGAGTTTATACCAGAGGGGGAGTCTGCAGAATTAGAATGAGCAGTGCTAGCTTTAGAATAGACGGGGCTCGTTAGGGATTGGGTGGGTCTGCCCTGGTGCTCGATGCAGGCTTTGATGTACAAGCTGGGGGCGAGAAGCCATACTCACACCTGAGATGCGGGGAACGCTTGCCTCTGTGGAAAGATAGCAGCCGTCTGTTTAGAAGAGAGCCAGTAGGAGAGCTATTAAAACCATCTGATGCTTCCCAAACGACAGGTGGATTTAGACCGAAAAATTAGCGTTAGGCCCAGTTACCTAGAGAATTCAGGATATGTGAAGTAGTGTCTTTCTCAAGGAGAATTTACCCTCCTCTGTTTATCTGGAACATTCTGCTCAGCTAGGTAAAAGAGACTCAGTTCACACAGTAATTTTGTGATAGTGTCTCTCACAGTTGGGTAAGATGGAGGCAACAACACATGAGATTGTAATCCTTTACCACATGAGCGCTTTGATGTACCTGTCCCTCTTTTTTCTTTAACTCCGTGTCATCCAGAAGATACGTTTTTGTGTTCTTCCTGTTTCACTTGGTTTCGGCATGAGATTGGGCCACATTCCCGCACAAGACAGAACATTATATGCCGCTGAGCCTTTATTCTACTTTGTGCCTTTATGCTACCTTTGAAAGCACCCAGACTTTATTTTAAAATCCCGTATTTTCAAAATATGGATGGACACACTAGGACATAAGTGCAAAACAATTTCGACACCTGCATTTGGTTTGGAGGCCACTCCCAACATGCTTAGGGGTTACTCCAGGCTCTGCATTCAGGATTACTCCTAGTTGGCTTGGGGGTTCACAGGGAGTGCCAGGGATCGAATTTGGGTTGGCTGCGTGCAAAGCAAGCACCTTTCGCACTATACTATCACTCCAGATTGTTTTTTAGGACCATACCCCATAAGTCTCAGGGCTTACTTCTACCTCTGTGCTTAGCTATTACTCCTGGCAGGGGTCAGGGGACCATAAGTGGCTCTGGGAATCGCACTTAGGTCAGCTGCACACAGGGTAAATGCTTTACCCATGTCCCACCCTGATACCTCTAATTCTTAATGTTTTCAAGGGTTACCTTGTATGGTTAATGTCTTGGTCTTCACTAGTCTGTTCTCAGTCTTACTTTCTACTAAAAGTCAGAATTATAGGTTAGTCTGTACTTCCCCTTAGCATTCTTATACTTTAGTAAGGTTTTAATATTTAAAAATTTTGAAGGGCAAGAGCAGTAGTACGGTGGGTAGGGTGCTTGCCTTGCATGCAGCCAACCTGGGTTTGATCCTTGGCACCCCATTTGGTCCTCTGAGAGCATACCTGGAGTGATCCCAGTGCAGAGCCAGGAGCAAGTCTGGTGTGTGTAGTATTGGGTAGAACAGTTCTAAAGACTAGTTGTAGTATACATATGTGAAAAAAGAGAAAACGTCGAGGGGGTTAAAGATGTAGTACATGGACATTTCACATACAGGAGGCCTGAGGTTTGTTCTCTAGCACCACCGGGCAAAAGAGAGAAATTACAAATGGAAAATTTAAAAAAAAATTCAATGTTTTCATTTTCATACTTTGTTGTTATTTTATAGCAGAGAAGACATGTAATGCTCACCTACAATTCAGAGTATGTATATTTTATGGCGTACTCTCTGTCCCTTTGTTTTGGGGACACAGCCGGCAGTGATTAGTGGTCCTTTCTGCAGAACTGGGGCCTGGGGAACCTGACGTGATCCAGCAATCGAACCCTGCCTCCTGCAGTGGAAGCGTACTTCCCAGCCCCGCATCAAGTTCCTTTCCAGCCTTTTCTCTGGCCCTTTGAATAATCTTTCCAACACTATCTGGTATCATATCCTTGATGCTAATACTTGGATTAATAACTTCATTTTTATTTTATTTTATCTCTCCTTAAATACAGTTAATCCCATTATTCATAAATTATGGAAACTGTCAGTATGTTTGGAATGGATTTTTAACATTTTATTTGCTATTACATTTCCCCAAACATTCCTTTTTTATGTAATTTTCTCATTTATTATTATTTAGAAAGTACTAAAACAATTACATATGATACAAATAGTATAAACATTGGTTAAATGAGCCTACTCAGTGGATACCCATTAATGATTTCTGTCACAAGTATGACTTTACTTTGTGCACATAAATAGAATATTGAATAATTAATAATTCCAGTAT